AGGGGGCCCGCCGGCGAGGCGCGGCGCGGCAGGCCAGGTAACACCCCCCGAGGGGCCGGCGTTTGTGTTGTGTGTCCACTTGTGTTGGAAAGGTCTTTAAACGGTTGCAATTAGGCGGCAATAAATCAAGGGGAAAATGCCTGATCCTGGACTGGTAGGGGCAGGAGCGTGGTGGGGAGGGCAGGAGCAGGCTGGTGCTGGCAGTGAACCGCTAGTGGCATGAAGAAGGGTGAGGATGGAGCTGGGGTGCTGGTCTCTCACAAGCTCCCTACAAGGGCTTTTTCTTCAGGAGATGTTGAACCAAGAGCTGAGGGAGTGACCTGGGGAAAACACCCTGCAAAAGTGCCAAGAGGGAGTTGGGGGGTGGTGGGTGCTGGATGGTTTTAGGCTGCGCTCTTGGTTTCCGCATGTGAGTGGAGCCCATGCTGAAAAAGGATGGTGTAAACTTCTAGAGTCTGAGGTGTTTTTAGAGCCACGGTGATGGCAACTCGCTATTCAACCCGCTATCTTTTCCATGGAGGGATGGAGAATGAAATATCCTCTCAGATTTCTGATTCTCATAATCATGAGAGACTACTCAAAAATAAATACATAAATGAAGAGTTCCTTAGGACATTATTATATTTATTAGACTCTGGATATGCTTTTGGAAAAAACAGCAGAGCTTGATCAAAAACACCATGAATGTAGACGAGGGCAGAGTGCTGTCATAAAGAGTTTGCAGCTCAGTTATGCAGCCTCAAGAGAAGAGAACACGCTGGGAGGAAGCAGAAAACCTTGGAAGAGAGGGTCCAGAGAAGAGAGGGTGACCTGTCATGGACTCTTGTTGCTGGGTGCTGGAGCCATGGGTGGCCATCACTTCTGCTGGCTGGGTGGCCAGTGACAGGCCTGCTTGGTTTGATGGGACTCAATGTTGGGAATGACAATGGGGCATTTCTGTTGCATGGACTGGGAGGATCCTCCACTGCTTCCTCCGGAGCTGATGATGACAGTGTGGCCAGAGGAGCTGCTGCTGCCACTGCTGAATCCTCCCCC